AAACTGAGGTACGGGGTGCAGGCGCCATTCAGGCAGGCAGAGGATCCCCGCTGGCGGAGGGCATTGCTTTCTTCAACCCGAAAAGAGACCAGCTCCCAATCTCTCTGAAATCCAGTTTCTGGGGAGAAGCTAGACTGTCTGCCATCGGGTCAGAAAGTGAGGGTGGCTTGCTTGCAGAGCTGCGTGCAAGAATAATTGTTTGCTGTGCGGGGACGCGGTCAGTGGGAGAGGCAGATATGGCTGACCAGCAGCCATCACTGTTGGCTACACTAGCCTAGTGATGCCCTGAGACTCCGCCCTGCACAATCTACAAACACAGCCAAGCTCCAAGCAGCGGCTTTTGCAATGAGTGACCTGCTCTATTGCAGTTTAACCTAGCAAACTTGCAACCTGGTGCAGACGGCTCTAAAGTTTCCAAGCTCCAAGCAGGGAGGAGAGGACTGTGGTTCTCGCTGCAGCTCCTGCAGGGTGGCCTCAGACAGTACCTGAACTGCATCCCATTGGAGAGCCAGAAGCCAGTGTACCTAGTGGTCAGTGTGAGACACCAGATTTCAACTCCTCACATCCGTGACACATTCGGGAGGCAGACTCAGTGAGCACCAAAGCCCCACTGAAACAAGGCCTGCCCATAAGTGTGTTTCCACTGCAGCAGTTCCTCCATTACAGACACAGCGGGTCCTCACAGCCAATTGGCCTGGTGGTCAATTCCTCCCAGTGTACCACAGCAATCAAGACTTCACTACACCAAGACTTTGCACTAAGCCCACGGGTATACCAAGAGCAACCACCTTGGGTGACTGGGGAAGCTGAGCTACGGGCCCCTATGGGTCACCGACCACACAAAGCCACTCCATCAACACAGGGAGGCAGCCAAAATGCAGAGACACAGAAGTATGTCACGAATGGGAGAGATGGAGGAGAGTAAACTACTGGACGACACAGACTTCAGCAGAATCACATTTATAAGGTCACTCAAGAATCTTCTAGAAACCACTGAGAAACTTGAAGAGACCTTCAAGGACCTTAATGAGAATACAAAAAAAAAAAAAAAAAAAAAAAAAAAAAAAAAGGAAAAGGACCAGTTAGAAATTAAGCATACACTATCTGAAATAAAGAATATATAGAAACTCAACTGTAGCCGAGACTGGTTTGGCTCAATGGATAGAGCATCTGGGGACTGAAAGGTCCCGGGTTCGATTCCGGTCAAGGGCATGTACCTTGGCTGCATCTGGAATATGAGGAAACAAAAACACTCAACCAGAGAGGCAGAAAGAAAGAAGAATCCAAAAGTGTGAGGACAGTGTAAGGAGCCTCCAGGACTGCTTTAAGCGTACCAACATCGGATTTTTGGGGTGCCAAAAGAAGAGAGAGCAGAATATTGAAGGCCTATTGAAAGAAATAGTGACAGCCAGGACCGGTTTGGCTCAGTGGACAGAGCATCGGCCTGCGGACTGAAAGGTCCCGGGTTCGATTCCGATCAGGGGCATGTACCTTGGTTGCGGGCACATCCCCAGTGGGGGGTGTGCAAGAGGCAGTTGTTTCTCTCTCATCGACATTTCTAACTCTCTGTCCCTCTCAATTTCTCTCTGTGTAAAATCAATAAAATAAAATAAAACCAACGAAAGAAATAGTGACAGAAAACTTTCCCTACCTGGTGAAAGAAATAGACTTACAAGTCCAAGAAGTGCACAGAACCCCAAACAAGAGGAATCCAAAGAGGACCACACCAAGATACATCATAATTAAAATGCCAAGGGCAAAAGACAAAGAGAGAATCTTACAAGCAGCAAAAGAAAAAACAGCTACCTACAAGGGAGCACCCATAAGACTGTCAGAGCACCCATTTGACTGTCACCCATACACAGTGTCAACAGAAACTATGCAGGCCAGAAGGGAGTGGCAAGAAATATTCAAAGTGATGAACAGCAAGAACCTACAACCAAAATTACTCTACCCAGCAAAGCTATCATTCAGAATTGAAGGCCAGATAAAGAGCTTCACAGACAAGAAAAAGCTAAAGAAGTTCTTTACCACCAAACCAGGAATACATGAAATGCTGAAGGGTATTCTTTAAGAGGAAGAAGAAGAAAAAGGTAAAGGTAAAAACTATGAACAACAGCCGAGACCAGTTTGGCTCAGTGGATAGAGCATTGGTCTGCAGACTGAAAGGTCCCAGGTTTGATTCCGGTCAAGGGCATATATATTGATTGCAGGCACATCCCTGGTGGGGGGTGTGCAGGAGGCAGCTGGTCGATGTTTCTCTCAGCGATGTTTCTAGCTCTCTATCCCTCTCACTTCCTCTCTGTAAAAAATCAATAAAAAATATTTTTAAAAAAACTATGAACAACAAAGAGACATCAAATACATACCTACCAACAAGTGAATCTAAAAATCAAGTGAATAAAAAATCTGAAGAACAGAATGGACTGGAGAATATAATGGAATCAGGGACATAGAAAGGGAGTGAACTGACAATTCTCAGGGGGAAGGGATCTGATGGGTGCAGGAAGAGAATGGACAAAAATCTTACTCCTATGGATGAAGACCGTGCGGGGGTAAGGGTACGGGGTGGGGTGGGGAATCAGGTGGAGGGGAGCTATGGGAGGGAAAAAGAGGAACACCTGTAATAATCTAAACAATAAATATTTATTACATAAAATATTTAAAATAATAACAATAATATAAAGGATTTTATCCTTTTTGCAAAGTCTGTGAGAAAAACAACCCTATTTCTGTGTTTGGTAATTCTTGCCGAATGCAGAGAATGGTTATTGTCAGACCAAGGAGTGTTTACACAAGGGTCTCTGACAGCTGAGATAACTTCCCAATGAGAAGTTACCAAAAGCCAAAGGTGGGGCCATTTACCAGCATCTCACTGGCGTGACAACCCAGCCCAGTCACCCCAGCGAACAGGCCCGTCCATCGGCCTGGGAGAATGCCCTCCTGGGAGACCCAAGATCATTTCACCTGTTCAGAGAGAACACTTGCACACGGTTTCTAAGCAGCTGGAAACGGGACAGGCCTTTCTACCTGGGAGTTAGAAGGCCCCCTGGTGGAGGACTGGGAGGAAGGCAGGCTCGGGTGTGACCTGAGTGTGGATCCCTCTTGGGAAGGCGCAGGATCCTTCTATGAACCAGTCAGGACACATGTCCAGGTTACAGGCTCGATTCCGTGTGAGGTGTGCAGGAGGCAATAGATCAATGATCTACTGATGTTTCTCTCTCTCTCTCCCTTTCCCCTCTCCCTTTCTCTCTGAAATCAATAAAAATAGGTTAAAAAAAAGAAAGTTCCTGAACTTTCCAGACCCTGCTTTCCTCACCTGTGAGATAATATCAATCTTGCAGGCTTCTTGGAATTTAATACGATGAAGAAAGCACTTACCATGAGGAATATTTTTATTATGCAAATAGCCTTAATTAATATCAGAATAAACATAACACTACATCTCATTTACTTAATGCTGAACTGTACCAAGAGCCTGCCTCCTACTCTCACAACCTGCACTTTAGAGGCTGCAGGTCCTTCCCCCAGCCCAGCCCAGGACCCCTGGGCCCAGGCTGGAACCTGGGTGAGGGCTCAGCTTTGCCACCTGCACTTTCCAACCTTTGTTTTTCAATTTAAAGCCTCCCCATGTGCTGGCCTCTCTCTCTTACGTTAAGAAACATTAAAGAGCCAAAACTGGTTTGGCTCAGTGGCTAGAGCGTTGGCCTGTGGACTGAAGGGTCCCAGGTTCGATTCCAGTGAAGGGCATGTACCTTGGTAGCGGGCACATCCCCAGTGGGGGGGGGGGGGGGGGCAGCTGATGGGTGTTTCTCTCTCATAGATGTTTCTAGCTCTCTATCCCTTTCCCTCGGGTGTAAAAAATCAATAAAATATATATAGTTTTAAAAAGATACAATAAAGGGGGAATTTTTCTTTCCTAATAGGGGAGGGCGTGGGGGTGGAAATGGGTTCCTATGCTTGGGGTGCTGGGGGAGCAATCAAAGTGAGTGAAGGTTGCTCATCCAACCTAGAGGTCTCCTCTCGCAGGAAAACCTCCTGAGGCGGGCAAACCTGGACCGCTGCCCCGCTGCCCCGACAGAACCCACAGGCCGCCTGGGACGCACAGGGTGGGCGGCGCACGTGCTCTGGGTCTGAGCTGATCTGAAAGCGCCCGCCCTGTGCCGGGAGCCCAGGAGGACCTGGGCAGCCCAGGGCCAGACACGCGATGCTTCTGAATGTGGACATCAGCATGACGAAAACACATCGCAGAGGGCTCACTCTGGTCAGGTTAGGTTTTGCCTGAATGAGTTTGATGGCAGGCTGATGAAACAATTGCCTCTCGGCGTTTTTGTTTCAAAACCATTGGTAAGGGAGTACGGACCTGCTGATAGCAGGCAGAACAACGGTTAGTATCTACTGAGTGCTTACCATGTGTGCTGTTTCCGTGATTTAGTCCTCACCCCAGCTTGGGGTGGAGCTCAGGCACCATTGCTGAATATTCCCATAAGAACTCTGCCCCGAATCACAGGACAGCGCCCGCCAGGCTGCCTGGTTACAGTCACTGCTGCACCATTTTGGCAAATTACTTCTGTTGGTACTTACACGGTAGTTGTGAGGATTAAATGAATTATGTTGTGAGAAGTGCCTGGCACATAGCAAGGGTAGTTATTATGCAATTTTGCACGTGGGTAAACTAAGCCTCAGGGAAGTTCGGTACCTTGCCCAAGAAGTTCCAGCTATTAACAGTGCAGCTGGGATTTGAACTCAGGCAACCTTGCTCTAAGCCTACCCTCTGTGCTGCTTTTTCACTACAGGCAAACCACCACTCAAAAGACAAAGTAGCTACTAATCTAGAAAGACGTGAAATCTGAGTGTTGGCTCTTCAGACAACAGTAGTTTGGTATTGTAATGGCACAAGTGATAGCCAATGCCAACTTGGGCATCTACTCCGTAGGTCCCAGGATGCTGGCTTCCATCTCAGACCGGTAGCTCAGGGCCTGTCCCGCAGGCACACTCACCATCAGGACCCTGGCGGGCGGCAGCGTGCAGCGCCGTGTTTCCGTGGCGGTCCTGGTGGGCAGGGTCAGCCCCGAGCCGAAGAAGCAAGCACAGGGCAGGCGCATCGTGGCGGGCACAGGCCCGGTGCAGTGGCGGGGGCTGCCCAGCATCTACATCGAGGCCGGGGTGTCGCCGGAGGAGGGCCTGGGCCCGGGCCAGCCGACCTGCAGACAAGTACCGCCGGAAGCGACGCTCTCGGCGCTGGCGGCGGGAGGTGGAGGCCATGGAACTCCTGGGCTGAAGAAGGAAGAGGCATCAGAGGGGACCCAGTCTCGGCCCCTCCCGCCACCCCGACCATTCCGTCCCCCATTCCGGCCCGGGTTCTCACATCCTCAGCAAGACATGCGGCCTGTTCTCCCCGTGCCACTTACCAGATGATCGGTTTGAAAACATTTTTAGGGGGGGGAGGGGGGGAGCTGGCCTCACACATTTACTTTTTAATGTAAAATTGAGAAAAGGACAAATGATCCCTTTGCGGCCCATCAGCCGCGCTAAATTTTAAATAAAAAACTTTGGAAAGGGGAATAGGGACTGATGGGGGAACTTTTTATCAACAAGTTAGAATTTTAAAGTCATAGAATTTTAAAGTCAAATAAAGGCTTCTCCCTCTGGACCTGGGGGTGGGGTTACTCATCAGACCTGCCCCGCGCTACCCGGGCCCCCCCCCCCCAAGTACCCTCAGGGCCGCCAGTTCAGTCGCTCGGAGCAAGGGAGGCAGGAAGGCGGAGACACTCTAGGCCGGCGGAAACGGAGACGCAGGTAAAGGGCGGAAATGACCGAAGGAGCATTACCGGATGTCGTTTCTCCCCGAGGACGCGCGGTGGTGGGGGCGGGGAGGTGTGTTTCCGCGGTGTGGCCTCCGGGGGGAAACTAGGGAACATAAGATAAAGGGCCTACCTGGAACCCGGAAAGCGGAGGGTAGGCACAGAAAAAGGAGGGCGTCCAGGAGGTTTACCCCCACCTCCCCAGCGGGAAGAGAGAGTAATGGTTCCGAGATAGATGAAAAGATGAGAAAGAGAGAAAACAGGAGAAATAAGGGAATAAAAATCACTGTGAAAAAGAATAAAACACATTGAGGCCAAGAACAGGGGCAGATCAAAAAGAGAAAAACAGGCATGAAAAGACATAAAGGCAAGTGAGATGGATGCAGAAGCTTGGACTTGGAAAAGATAGAGAGGAAATGGAAACGGGTGGGAGAGAAAAGGGAGGAGATGTTGGCTGAATTCAGAAGCCCAATGTACTCTTCTTGCACCACGGATGGTGACTTCCTTACTTTCTCTCTCTCTCTCTCTCTCTCTCTCTCTCTCTCTCTCTCTCTCTCTCACACACACACACACACACACACACACACACACACACACACACACGCCGCCTTCTCTCCCAATACTCTCCTCCCAGCCCTGGCCCCAACCCTAGCTCTCCGGTCTCTAACGGGCAGCTTTGGGACTGGCCTCCGCTGCCCCCGAGAGGTCCTTCTTGGTACTGCCCGGGTGAGAGGTGTATGAGGAGGACCAGCCACTGTCGGGAGGATCAGTTTGGGGGAGACACCAGGTGCAGGCTAAGGGAAAAGGGGAGCACTAAGACCCAGGGATAGTGGAGGACTGCAGCAACGAGCTGGAAGAGGAGAAGTAGGGGCGGCTGGGAGCCATTTGGTACCTTGGTAGCATCCGAAACAGAATCTGCCATAACGACAGAAATGGCCAGCCAATCCCAGGGTATCCAGCAGCTCCTGCAAGCAGAGAAACGAGCGGCTGAGAAGGTGGCAGATGCCAGGAAGAGTGAGCCTCCCCCTTCCTCCATTAGAAGTCTGGGAAGAACATGGGGGTGGGAGGACAGCAAACATTTGAGTCCTGAGGAATACCCAATCCTGATGGGGAGGGAGCTGAGGGCTGGGGGGCTGGTTAGAAGATTAGAAGGAAAGAAATCGGGGGATGTTAGAACCTAGCACCTGGTTGGCTGAGCGTAGAATAACTTACTGGGAAGGACTGACCCCACTATCACAGGTTATCTCGGGTTCACCCACCCCATCCTGTCTTTGCTTCCAGGGAAGGCCCGGCGTCTGAAGCAGGCAAAGGAGGAGGCACAGATGGAAGTGGAGCAATACCGGCGGGAGCGAGAGGTGGAATTCCAGAGCAAACAGCAGGCGGTGAGTCCGGGAGAAGTGGGGATCTTCCATCTGGTGCGGGTGATTCTACGATAAAATAAGATGGTCAAGGACAGAAGGGGGTCCTGGTGGGGACCATGTGACGTTGGTCAAGCTTTGTGACATTTAGGAGCCTGTGCATCTGAAGGACTCGGGCAGTTGTGGCAGAATGGCCACAGTCTGTGTGGAGCACGATGGCATTTGGGGGGCAGAGTGCCGTGGTTGTGGGCGGTGAGGGTGGGGATTGTACAGCTGGCGTGGCACACCGGGTCTTGGAGGAGAGGGTGGTCCCGGTGTCTGGCTGTTTCCGTGGGATGGGTGGTTTGGAGAGGGCCTTGCTCCAGAATCTTTCCTGCACATGCCTGGACCCCCTTTCTCTGTCTCTTCCTTTCCCTCTTCTGCCCCTTCCTCACCTTCCAGGCCATGGGCTCCCAGGGAAACCTGTCCGCGGAGGTGGAGCAGGCCACCAGGCGCCAGGTGCAGGGCATGCAGAGCTCCCAGCAGAAACACCGAGAGCGGGTCCTGGCCCAGCTCCTCGGCATGGTCTGCGACGTCAGGCCCCAGGTCCATCCCAACTACCGGATTGCTGCCTAGGACAAACCCAGTGCCTGACGCCTCCTCAAAAGAAACCCCAAACCAGAGTCACCTCCCATCCTAATCCTACTCTGTTTTCCATTCCCTGGGAATTCTAGGAGGCAAGACCCAATAATTCTCCTGTGAAATATAGATATCCTGCTCAGACCTGCGTCTCCTCATTGTTCTTTAACCTTCGCTGAGACCTTATAAACTCCCAAGTCACCTCAGCCAACCCCCCTGTGAAATCTGTAGCATGAAAACGCGGGTGTGTAGAAAACACGATAACTCCAGAGCCCGGCAGGCGGGGATCCCGCTCCTGACCCTGCTGCTAGTTGGCAGGCAACCAGAACGAGTTACTTAACCTGGGGCCTCACTGCCTTCCCAGGAGCAGCAATGCCCACCTTTCCTGCTGCTGCAGTGATCAGGAGCCATGCTGAACAGAGCCCAGCATGGTTTCTGGCATGTAGTAGTTATGACTCGATTAATGGCAACCCTGTGATATTATTACCACCTCATGTCCAGCTGCCAAAACCTAAACACAGCCGTTTCCTCACTTCTGTCTGTGACTCCAACTCTACTCACTCTGTGACCCTAGTATTCTCTGAAAAATTGGTTCTTCCCACCTCTCCTTTCCCAGAGAGCCTGCACTACCTGAAAAGATAAAATGATGATTTCATTTAGCCTGTTACTGTAGTTCCAGAAAGATGGTGCATTTTTTAGCCTCCCCTTCATCTCTCTTAAGTTGGTCTTTCTCTTCATTGGCTTTCTCTCACTTCTTATTACCCCAAAGACCTATCAGATGATTGCTGCTTCCTGAGATATGAAGTGAAGCTTGTCACTGTGTATGCATGGACTTCCTTTGTAACAATAAAAACTGTCAATAAAATGACTATGGGAAAATCCTTTTGTTTTATCATTTCTCATTTAGCCCCTCTCTTGAGTCTTGTTTCTATATTCTCCAAACACCCAAAAGAGCTGCCCTTTGAAACTTGTTGTAGAAACATAGCAAATAATATATTATTATTGCCTGGCCGATGTGGCTCAGTGGTTGAGCGTTGACCTAAGAACCCGGAGGTCACAGTTTGATTTCCTGTCAGGGCACATACCTGGGTTGCTGGCTTGTACCCAAGTAGGGGGCATGCAGGAAGCAGCTGATCAATGATTCTCTTTCATTACTGATATTTCTATTTCCTCTCTTCCTCTCCCTGAAATCAATAAACATATATTTTTTTAAAAATAAAATCTTAAAAATCATATTTCTCTAAAGTGAGAAACATAAGTGATTCCTAGTTTGGGAAATTGAAGGCTTTAGATGGCAACTGTAGAGAAAAGCTGGGGTGCAGGAACAAGCATTTTGCCCGTTCAGTAACCACAGAGGCTCAGGCTGGAATGAGAACAAAAGGCATTTATTTGAACAAAAAGCCTGCACTACCATGATGCAGACCTAGGTAACTATTCAAACTGCTCTCTGAGGGAACAAAGAAAGGCAGGATTTATAAAAGCAAAAACCACAAAGTGCAATTATTTCATGTACATGAAGGATTGATGGATAGGGATTGGTTGGTTCTAACATGCAAATGAGGAAGGCAAAAACTATGAGGAGCAAGTAAAGTCCTTGTGTCCCTGAAGCAATTGTTCCAAAATGTTTATGAACATATTTGACATATTTATGTTTGTGCGTCGTCTGTTCTGTTGGTGAATTCTGTCACTGCTATGTCTCCAGACCCTAGAATAGCACTTTGGACAGAGTACGCAAGATAAATACTGTGAGAATAAATTGATACATAGGGTTGGAAAAACAGTCCTTTTATAACACCATCCTGGGATCCTTTGATGGATCACTTATTGCATTTTTCTTGGCCACAGAAAATAAGCCTCTTTAAAAAATAATAATAATAATAATAAAATATACACACACACACACACACACACACACACACATATTGATTGTACACAGAGAGGAATTGAGAACGATAGAGAGTTAGAAACGTTGATGAGAGAGAAACATCGACCAGCTGCCTCATGTATACCTCCCACTGGGGATGTGCCCGCAACCGAGGTACATGCCCTTGACCGGAATCTAACCTAGGACCTTTTAGTCCGCAGGCCAAGGCTCTATCCACTGAGTAAAACCGGTTTGGCGAAAATAAGCCTCTTAACCAAACTCTAAGCAGGGAGGCAGTATACATCCTCCTATATAATAAAGGTCTAATATACAAATCGGCTCACCGGTGGGACAAGTGGTCACTATGATGCGCACTGACCACCATGGGGCAGATGCTCAATGCAAGAGGTGCTTCCTGGTGGTCAGTGAGCTCCCATTGGGAGCGCTGCTCAGCCAGAACCCCTGAATCAGGTTCACGGCTGGCGAGCAAAGCAGTGATGGTGGGAGCACTAAGGATGTCAGACTGCCAGCTTATCCCCCGAGGGCTCCCCAACTGCCAGAGGGTGCAGGATGGGCTGAGAGACACCCCCAACCCCCAGAGCAGGAATTTCATGCACCCGGCCTCTAGTACAGAATAAGAGGTGTTTGTTTTTATCCTGGCTCTGTCCTCACCTTACTAGCTGTATTACTTCCCACATGTTGCTTTATTCTCTTCAGTCTGTGCTTGTAAATGGAATGGGAATAATGGTCTCCACTCCTGTTAAATGATTGTTTAATAACAGCTACAGGGCAGAACATTTGTTGTAATTTTTGTTAAGCAGCAGACACCAAGTCTGGTTTCTATAGCATATCAAAGACAGGGTATCAGATGCTTCATTCATGAAAAAATCCATGCTGAACAATGGGGCTATCGGGGTGGGGCTAAGAACATTCTAGTGGCATTAACAGTACTTAGGGAATGTTGCATAACCCTCAAGCCCTATCATTTAACACTTGGGGCCCAACCTAGACCCCGTTGCCACTCTGAGTTCAGAACGCCTTGACTCGCAGCCCCCGCCCGCCAGCTTAGGGCCCTTGGGACATGTGCTATAGATGCGCTAACACTGCTTTTGGGCAAATGTCGGGCCGCGGTCCCCACGGCTGCCTATCTCCGGCGCGGACGCCCCAGGTCACCTTGACTACCGGGCCGAGGACCCCGTGGGAACCCGCAGCCTCGCCAGCCTCGCTCGCCACCGAGGGGTGCCCAGAGAGAAGTCCTGCGTGGCAAGAACCTAAACGAGGAAGCGAGGGGCGTGGAGAAAAGTGGTACAAGAGAAAGGGGATGCTAGTGAGAGGGGATGCTAGTTTCCTTTATGTCTTTTGTTCCAGGCAATAGCGAAGGAGTTAGAAGTGGCTTTAAAAAAAAAAAAAAAAACCTCAGACAGGCAGTTTCTAAAGGCAACCCCAGAGCCCCCGGAACTACAGATCCACGGAAGGTCCCTCTTCCGGTCCCTTGAGCCTGACGCTAGCTGCCGAGAAGGCGGGAGGCTGGCGTAGAGGGAAACTGGGAACCGGAAGTGAAGGCAGATTGCCTCCTTCGTCGCTGTTGCTGCCGCCATACGCGTTCGCCTTGCTCAGGTAAGATTTGGCCTTCGGTACCATCCATTTCCATCTGCGTTTCCCTGCAGCCATCCTGCCGTATGGAGTCCTGATACCCCTTCCACAGGCGATGGCCTGGTCGCTGGGGCCTCGTTGGGTCGTTATTTTCATCACTTGCATCCCTTTCGAGAGCAAAGAGCTGGGGGGAGGTAGGGGAGCTAAAAAGGCTCAATCCAAGATGGTGGCCTCGCGCCATTGTCCCCGTAGCTCTCCGCTCCTCCGGCGACCTCGTTTTCAAAAGGTCCTAGCGACGGGCAGAGGCGGCGCTGGGCGGGGTTCTCCTCCCCTCCCCTCGTTTCTGGGTCCTCTCGGCTGGCGTGGGACTCGGAGGAGCCCGCTTCTGGGCCTAGTTGGACTTCCTACCTCGGCTGGCCCGCGTTCATTGGGAGCGCTTTGCAAGTGCTTTGGGGAGATGTGTGTTTTCGGAGAGGCTCGGTGCGGGTGATCGCGGCGGTGGAGGCGCGCGGTGAGGCTCGCCTGCAGGCCGAGGCCGCCCTCTGCCCTGACGATTGAGTGCTGGAGAGCTGGATGCTTTCGGCGGAGCCGCCCCCGCCGTTGGCTCATTCCACGGAGTTCTAGGCCGCAGGTGGGGCTGCTGAGTGGGAGGCTGGCGGGCTGTGGGGGTGAGCGGCAGCCACATGATGTTCTCATGTGGAGAGGTGAGCGCTCTGCGCAGTGATGACCTTCATCTATCACCCTGGACTGATGGCTGCTGCGCGGGGGCTTGACAGCTTGCGGCCAGGGAAGCGCGGGTCTTCCGTGGAGGGTTTCGGGACGGCACCCTTCTCTCCGTCTCCACTCCTGGCATCTGCTTTTCCTCATCTGTTCGTTTCCTCGCTGTCAGTGACGAGCTCCTAAGCTGCTCTCCCACCGTCTGTTCCTAGTCTTGCTGGGGCCTGTGACCTGACCGCCTCCCCTGGAACCCCTTCCCCAGTCCCGGTCACTCTTGCCTTTGTTTTGTGTTCCTTTGTTACTGTTTAACCCAGGTAAAGGTTTCCTAGTTTAGGGAATGTGGGAAGGGCATGGGGATGGAAAAGAAGTGGCGAAGGCTCTGCTCATGACTGATGTCCGTTTTTTCCTGTTTCTTTGTGTTTTTTTTCCCTAGCTCTTCTGCCAGAAACTAGTGTATCTTCTATTCCTTAAGCCCCACTTTACTCCTTTGTTTTCACTTAATCTGCGTGAACCCATTCAGAGACCCTCGCTCCTCCCCCTGCCGGCCCAGCTATGGCGGAGAACGATGTGGACAACGAGCTCTTGGACTACGAAGATGATGAGGTGGAGACCGCGGCTGGGGGAGATGGGGCTGAGGCCCCTGCCAAGAAGGATGTGAAGGGCTCCTACGTCTCCATCCATAGCTCTGGCTTTCGGGACTTCCTGCTCAAGCCAGAGTTGCTCCGGGCCATTGTTGACTGTGGCTTTGAGCATCCATCAGAAGGTAAATTTTCTCTTGGGCATAGAGTACTCATAAGGCACTTTATAATGATCCTGAAAAGATGTGTTCATGGTCCCTCAGTGACACAGACCTGCATTTAGGATAGACCACGAAGTAAGGAAGTACCAGGAGTCCCAGAAAGTGTTTTAGAATTAAAAGAGGTTTATATAGGTTGTCTTTTATTCATGGGCCACTGGGCGGGGGTCCCTCAGCCCGGCCTGCACCCTCTAGCAGCCCCGGAGCCCATGGAGGATGTCCCACTGCTATGGAGGTGGGAAAGGCCTGCCAGCGCTGAGCCTGGTTTTTTACTGAACAGTGTTCCCTCTGGTGGTCAGTGCATGTCACAGCAACTGGTTGTTCTGCTATTTGGTCAATTTGCATATTGGCCTTTTATTATATAGGACGGGATAGCATAAAACAAAAGCAACTTACAGGTCTGTAATTCATTTTTTTTACTGGTTTTTCCCCTTGTCTTCTAGCTTTGAATTTTATCACTTTAACTTGTAATTTTAAATTTCCAGAGAGGAGTTGGTCGCACTTTTAGTTCTCTTTTGGAAAAGGCCAACTCTGGTCTCTGGAGACCTTTATGGCTCTTCTAACGGTGGGTGGCTTCTGGGTCAGGTACCAAGTCCTTCATTTAGTGCAAGGTTGCAGGGTTCCATGATCCAAGGGATGGCAGTCTAAGCAGGGGATAGGCCTGTAGCAGGCATGCAAATGCCATGGGTTGTTTAAGATGAAGGAAAATAAGGGCAGCCGGAAGCACCAAAGATGGGCTGTTGATAGATGGAAATGGGTAGTTGTGGGGGGAGGCATAGAAGGCGGTTTGGTTGGTGCGGGAGGAAGCTAAAGCTAGAAGGGACTAGGAGGGTCTGATTTGGGGATGAATTTGAAGGAGCATAGAGGTAGAAAGTGTCTAGAAATTGACAAAAACCACTTAAGAATTCGGCAGCATGAAATGGGTGCGGCTGGTAAAAAATGTTATCTGGAGTCCCAATTTGTCTTTTTTCTTCTATATCTAGTTCAGCATGAGTGCATCCCTCAGGCCATTCTGGGAA